TCGCCATCTTCCCCTTCTATGTTCACCTCATCATTGTGGAAGTGGCCTCGCGCAATAATTTCAAGTCTCTCAGTTCCGTGCGTAAGGTGGTGCAGATGTTCCGTATTTTGCGCATTGTTCGTATCTTCAAACTGGCTCGACATTCCACTGGCCTCCTATCTCTCGGCTACACTTTCCGGAGATCCTACAAGGAGCTGGGTCTCCTAATGACCTTCGTTGCCATGGGCGTCATCCTGTTCTCTAGTCTTGTCTACTTTGCTGAGAAGGAGGAAAATAGTCACATGTTTCGCAGTATACCGGCAGCTTTTTGGTGGGCTGCCATCACCATGACAACCGTCGGCTACGGTGACGTGTACCCAAAGACAGCGATCGGTAAATTGATTGGCGCTGCCTGCTGTATCTGTGGGGTCCTCGTGGTGGCCCTTCCCATCCCCATCATTGTTAATAACTTTGCTGAGTACTATAAAGAACAGATGAGACGGGAGAAGGCCCTGAAACGACGAGACGCTCTTGAACGTGCACGGCTCACTGGCAGTATTGTTTCTCTTGACTCCGAGTTGCTGTCCAACTTTGAGCGCGGACAGGAGACGTCGGTGGAAGAAGAGGTACAGAGAACGGATCAATCAAGTGAGTTCACACAGCACCAAAGACAGCAACAGCAGCAGCAGAAGCTCGGAGATGTTGTCCTTAAATTGGGAGTTTCAGAGGGGGAGCCAGAGCAATCGACTTTACTGCGTGGATGCAGGTCAACTCCGCCGACTGAAAAGGTTAGGATGAATATCCTCGGTGTGTGTGGGCTTCCATCGGCTGGGGCTGGGAATCCCCCGACGGAGAAGGAGGGGGAACTGTTGACGCACAAAGGAACATCCCAACAAGTTGATGACTGCCACAACAAGGTTAGCTTTCAATGTTGTAAACCCCGAAGAACATCTCAAAGGGTAGCGGGCACATTTTTCTAGCAGTGAAGTTTGAATCACATAAATTTTTTCGATGTTGTTGACGTTCTTCAATGACTATTTATCAAGGTTCATATTTTCAACTACGTTTGCTTTATCATCGAAAGGCTAAATTACAAAAATATTTTTTACAGAACGAGTACGGAGAAAAAAAATTATATATACGGCTTGTATTAGGGTGCTCGGCAATATGCAGGATAACAGTACAGAGTTTGAGCAGATACTCATCGTGTAAGCTGAATTTATACGTGCACATGACTTGTTAACCGTCTGTGATATTAGAAGACGCATCCTTAATAATTAAATAAGCTAATAGGCCTTCAGGTTTTGATGGAAAGTTCAGTTACATTTGAAGTCCCATTTCAAATTAAATTGCAGAATCAGATAAATTTTGCAGCCGCAGGACTAATGCGGCGTTATCTAGTATTATGTCGTGTCTTATTTCTCCAACTTCAAGAACATTGCAATTGCAAGCAATCAATCAAGGATTTATTAACCCACAGTATCAAACCTTGCTAAAAACAGAACACCGGTGACACAAAGTCACTGCCCTATTATTAAGTGGACACGTGCTGATCTTTTCGGTTACTTACGAAACGCTTAGGGGTCACATCTAAGAGTGTCTTCTTTATTGTAAAGGTATTATGCCATACTCCCGACATAGATCCTAACCAAAAACCCAGACACTTGTTTCGCGGACATTCTAACGCTGCGTGACACGGCTGCGAGAGGTTCGGCTCCTCAGTGGGTCTCTTAGCGTCCTCTATGTGGTTTTAGGTATATGACCACCAGAGAATAATCAAGCGAATAATTTCAGAAATTATTCAATACAAGACATGGAGTTAGGTCTTCGGACATGACTTTTTGTGTCGGGTCCGAAAGTTCAAGTAACAATATATATTTAGCACATACATTTCATATTACTCGTAGTACTACTTGTTTGTAAAATGGACATTACGTGGTTATTCCACAGAAGTTGATTGTCTTTGACTCGAATGTTCATTGAAATTTCGGGTCTGACAATAAAAAGCCATGTCCCGGAGACTTACCTCCATGTCCTGCACTGAATAATTTCTGAAATTTATTCGCCTACGTGTTTTCCATGTTCTTGATAAATCAAATAAGTAATAAGAAAATATGCATCATCGCTCCCAAGCATAGATATGTCATGTCGAATAAGAAAGCACACTAAATATTACTGACTTCATATTACAGTGAAGATGCTTGATTCTCCTGATGTAATGCAAAGCTTTCGTCTGTTGCCGACCAGACTGTGCCTCGTGCATTGGTGATGATTAAGTGACATTCTCAGGCCGATAATTGCAGGAATATATCATAATTTTACCTGAGTAGGTGTTCATTTGTCTCCTCGGGCCTAGTTGGAAACACCCAACCATGGACAAGTGGGATTTTCGTCGTCGGGACTGTGGCAATTGTGTTTCTTAGTCCAGACAGCCTGTCGCATTTGACAAAACCGGACCCCGATGGTTAAGGGCAGGCAAATTCCGAGCTACTTTATCTTCGCTAAAAAGAGGTCGAGGATGAATTTCATGATCGTGCAGTCCCTCTCTAAGGACTTTGTCCCAATCAAAATCGCAGGGATGACCTTCATTTTCAGTTGAAAAAGTATATGATTTGGGCTTTTCACGTTCTGCCATTGCTTCAGCTCATTTAACCGCATCTGCAGACCTTCTGATTCCCTTCTACACATATAATAAACCATTTCTCCTAAAAGACAACTAGTATTCAGGTCAAATGATGTTTTCTCATCACGCAAATGAAAACCAAAGTGGGCATCGGTCAGCTATCCCAGCACTAGGCGGTAGAACGTTGTGTCCAGATATAAACAGGGTCGTTGAAGGTTGGATCGAATTTAAGCAAATAGGATCAATCAAACAGTCTTACATGCGGGACTCAATTCTAGCTTACTGCGATTAGAAGACTTACGTGGGCGCACGGTCGTTAAGACACCAGGGCTGAGGGCAAAATTACAAGTTACTGCCCAAATCAATTCGACTAAACACAACTGAGATATGTTTCAGAGGTCACACAGTGTTTGAGCAGTTTAACAGCTGACACCTCCACTGACCGTTCCTAGGACATCAGTTCTCCTCTATACATTGATGTGATGTCATTATAAAAATTTCATTCCCTTACCATACCAACCTATATGTGAAGATGATCCGGACGGATGATGAGGTACTGTGTACGGCACTTGGTAAGGCGTTCAAAAACTCACTAATTTCCTCAAAGTATTGTGTAGAGTGAGCAGGCTACACTTAGCTCAGATGTTTTAATTATACGCCACACTTGGGCCAGCTGGGTCGTTGGCAATTTTCAAGTTATACAGGAGCATCATGCTCGTTTACTAGGAATTGGCAGTATGGTGTGTCTTATCATCAAAAGGATCACCTGAACCATTCTGTTTAATGCTGGTGCGGATGGCCCCACTTACTGAAATGAGACAGTCGGTTATGCCAAAGATCAGAAAGCGCAAGTGAAGATGAGAAGCCTTAGTTTTAGCAAAATAGAGCAACCAACACCGCCAACGCGATGCACGACTTTACCCTAAATGGATCTTGCTAAACAAACAGAGTAGACACAAGGCTTTCGTGGGGTCTCCTGCCAGTTTACTGAAGCTCATTCCTCTAGGCGTTTTGTATTGTACAATGCAGGAACAAGGACCAGGCTACGAAACCGGCAACAGCCAATGAACACGAAGTGACCAATTAACACGAACACAGTCAAATACAAAATGAAATGTCCCTTGATGGTTACGTCTTCATTGCTTTGTGTTACCAACAGTACCTAAGTCAGTGTGGATAGCAGCTTTACAGAGGGTTTGACAAAACGACTGAACAAAACCTGTAGATTCTATTCAATTGGCAAAGTGAGGTGTACGTGAGTGGTACAAAACACGTACTAGCTAAAACCCCAGACGGGTGTTTTGTTGGTACTCTGTCGCTGCATGGCACAGATGCGATGGTTCGACTGATCAGTTTGTGTATTTAGGTTTTAAACAGACTGAGTTACACCACACTGACAACTAACATCCAGGAAATTATAAATCTGCAATTCAAAAACTAGCCATCAACCAGAAAGCATATGAGTAACGATCGGGAACCATTGATGAGCCGCGCCCTACGCAGACGTGTCATATAGCGGCGAAATATCGGAACAAACATGTATGGCATTGTAGCTAGCACCTGTGCTGTTACGTTTGGTATATCATACGACCCATGTTTATATGACTGGCTTTCTGTCGGCAGTTTGTGGATATTTGGCGGTTATCCCACTGTGCTCGCTGAACGTCGGTCTAAACATTCATATCAAATTCCAGAATGAGCTTATAAATACGAAAAAGACCAATTTACTCCAATCAAGCGATTCATTTCTGAAGAGACCAAACATCCGCAAAGTAAAATGCATTCCATCGAACATTAAATTTATAATAAATCTAATTGCTTATGCACTGCCCGATACGGACAAAAATGCTAGTCCGAGAAAGCAGTCAAGAGATGGAAGCGGTTGGTGGAGCAGGCACTTGTCATAGCGATTGTGCATACGTCTATGTCCCTGGAATAGAAAATCAGACCTCATGAAGAAAGTTTTCAACAGGTCGTTATACAACGGATTAATATAAAACCAAAAACATTAAATAAATACATTAGTCAATTTTACCTTGACTTCAAATATTACAAGGTTGTTTTTAAATTTTAAATTGCTGATAATTAGGCTTTTAAATCCATTCTTGCTTGAAATATTAAAACTTGGTTGGCATATTAAATTAGCTCCTAAAGATGATTTTGCTTGCTCGGAAAGTACAGACTAAATAATCTGTTCTACAAATTAACGCATGACTCATGTTTCCTCATATTTACTACGCATGTGCTTACATACCCGGTTGTTTTTGTTTCTTGCATACCCAGAAACGAAAATATGTATATAGTAAAGGAAAATAAATGGAACAGAACACATACGGCATAATAACATAATTGTCCGTTTTTCCAAATACAAGCTGCAAGTTCAAAGCTGTCTGTGCGTTTAAACTTAGCCAAGGACTTAGCTCTGTACGTAAGGATGCTTGCCAAATGCCCAGGATCTCATGAGGATTTTGCTAACTGCTTATCGAAACTTTTGAAAATGATTGCTGTGTTCACGCTTGCATTCAGAATGGATGACAATCCATTGTTTTTTTAGCTGTAATTATGAGAAAGGAGAAACCGTCAGTTCTAAGGTTATGCCAGTTATGAAAAATCCTCCTTACCGTGGGGATCTTATTCGAAAGCTACTCACTGCATACCCAAAATTTATTTTGCAATACCATAGTAGAAATCAATAGTTCGAACGACCTTATCGACGACGTTCAGCATGTGTCTTGCAGAAGTTGATTTTTCCAGGCAACTTGGTAAGGTAGATAATCGTTCAAAAGAAATCGTGCTTAAAGATGTCTACCAATATTTTACATCATGCCTTGTACGAGGTTGGTTTCAGCTCGTAGTACCATTTGTGACATTCTAGAGCGATAACCGAATTTAATCGAAGTATTACAGTGTAAATATGTGCACTGTGACTCGCCCATAAATAACAGCCCTATCGACCGAAAAAAGGATTATTTAGGGGATCGGAACTTGGAGCTGTTTCCGTCAAAATCCGCGGGTGGGAGTTCAGTCAGGTGACATGACAGGCAATGCCGTTTGCACGTCTTCTGACTGTAATAGACCAACAACATCTGGTTAATTACTTCTGCATTTTCGTTGTATTTGTGAGCAGGCGTCAGTGCTTAAAAAGTTAGTTGATTCATGAATGTTTTTTAAGAAAATCAAATGTCTACAAGTAAATACTTGCTATCGAACATTTCTGGGCTACCGTGCGTCACATAAACATTCCTGTGCAGAGTGCGTTGCTTCGGTTGAGGAGGTACTTTTACCTATTTATGACCATAAGTTATCTAAAAATATACTCTCCTCTACTCTCCAAAAAGCCCTAGTAAGAGTGAAATGGCCGTTTTTGTGCAGACCTGTCGCTTTCGTTCTACCACATTTGACCCCTCATCGACCAGAACAGTACACGATTGGCCCAGACTGTGCAGGCTAGACATGTATTGAAAGGGTTTGCCGTGTCCCCTGGGGGTGAGGTGGGATATATGAAATTAAAAAACCGCCATACCATTTACTCACAGCTGCGCAACGCAAATGTTTCAAAATTTAAACATAAACAGTTAGTTTACATTGTGTGTTGAACCTCTGCAGCAAGTTTATTGCACAAGTTATGGGTGCACCAATAGGGTTGCGGTTCTCCTATTCTCTCCTCCTCACCACTTACGATTCTTCCGATTTCTTTTTGGTTGTTTAAGAAAAAGCAGAAGTGTTCTTTACTCAAGTCCTATCTCCCTAAATGAGGTTTTCTGGGTAATAACAAGCTTCTAAAAGTACACTTTTCACATTTATATACAAAGGCAAGTCCCAAAATTAGCAGTTCTTCTCAAGAAATTATTCACAACGTAAACTCAACGAAACTGGCAGATGGAAAACGTTTTGAATATTCACAGAAGGGACTGAGTACTCTTGATACCGCTCTAATTAGTCATCGCTTCCACCTACACCTGCCTAACATGTGATTCTTCCCATTACTCGGCGTCTTAATCTAAATGCCGGTATACTCAGAGGGAATCCCCTCCTCAGGGACTTCGGTAAAGATTCTGAACGAGAGCCCGCGAGATAAAAGCACAGCACTTAAGCAAAAGTCTGCTGGACGCCATACGACTGAAAAAGAGAGGGATGAATAGAATAGCATGCCGGCAATGAAGCCTAATAAAACATCCTGCGGAAGAGTCATCCAACTAGCATTTTTAAAAGTTAATCGAGTCTTCCTTCGCGTCGAATGTTAACTTCCCTCAAAGGCATGCTGACTGCTCCCACCCTCAGGGCGATATTCAATAACACAAATAAACAGGCATTTCAGTCCCCTTTAGACAGGAGGAGAAAGAAAAAATTGTTTGTTTCTCACATTAAGGTAGAGCAGTATGCACAGTGATGGAAAGATTAGCTGACGAAATCGACATTGATAACTTCAGTTATCATTGATATATAATAAAAAGAATAATTGTAAATTATGGACATCTTTAAAAGTACTCTTCCAGTCAGATAAAACCAACTTAATATTTTTTGAAATACGTTATCTTCATTTGATCCTATTAAATGTGAGATTTTTCTCGCGCGGAGAAACGTTACACACGCTTCTAGTGATTCTCTAGGCCATTTTTCGCAGTTTATAGAAGACCTACTGACTAAAGTTTTTCTCAGTTATTCCTGTATAAAAGGAGTATTGAAATTCGGAGATATAAAGGTGCAAAACTGTATTTAAATCTCTGATCGCTTGTTAAATGTCGGGTATGCTGGTCGTGTCGATGAGCGACGACGGATGATCTGATTTAAAAGCCGCGCCAAAAGTTCTGCTATGGTGGAAAAAAGCGCACATTTTGTACCCGAAATAAGAATTATTGGGCACTGACGTAGATATTGTGACCATTGTCCAGAATTGATTCCGGGGACGCTTTTCAACAGTTATTTAATTTCTCCGCAATGGGCATGTAAGCAAACAACAAGAACCGCTGTTGCATTTTGTCTCATCTTTATTTACGAACCTTAAAAGTATTCACATCAAACGTACTTCATTTTTAACAAACTGTTATTTCGTTTTTCGGAGATCTGAAGAGATAGACTAAATTTTGACAGTGATTAGGCTGACTTTGGGCAAGAAGGATGAAGCGGCTTCAGTTAGAAAAATAGACACCTGTAAGGGGTATGACCACGTGACACAGACACCATTAGAAAAAAAGTAGAAGAGATCCGTCGTCATCTGTTGTGGCATTGAGTAGCCCATGCATCATTCGGCTGCCTAATCGACAGTTCGACCGTCGGTATCGACGATATCCACCGTGTACTCGGCTGAAAGGTGAAGTAGACATGGCTTACAGACCTTTTGACCCCACTGTCTAATCAAGCGTTTGGTGCTAGGGTTTGGCGCAATGTGGATGGAGCAGGAACAGCGCATCCACATGTGCCAAGCACCACCTGATCACTTTATTTTCTAAGAAACAAATTCGAAGACAAAAAAAGAAGAAGTATCCCATCTGCGTGGGAGGTGTTTGCACCTCGATACAGTGATTGGCGCAGATCTCAGCAAGGAGAGAGCGCCGTGAGGCCCATTGCAACCTGACTTCCAGTCCGCTATTCAATTCACGGGGTCGTTATTTCGTCGGTTGGCGACCATTTAAGTTACGACATTTAGCACGTTGTCGCAAGTCCAAGCGCGTCAAATTTATTATAGCGAGGAATGAACTGATATGACATGAGAATGTACAGTAGGTGGGCTAACTCATGAAATTTCAAGCGAAATTCCGAAAAGCATTTTCGTTTCAAAAAGAATAATTAAATAGTGTTGTAAAACTACTCATCGTGCAGCATAATTCTATAAAAATCCAGTTACCTCAAGTTGCCAGCTTTCAAACGAACTTCTCGGCCGCATGAAGTAACTACACTTTATAAAAAATGACTACTTACTAACATGAATTTTTCCAAGTTATTTACGATGCCCTTAAATTTCCAATTATATTTCATGGAAACCATGCATAAAAGTATTAACCCGTTTACTCATTCTGCAGAAAATTACGTCTTATTCCAATTTTATGCTCGAAGGAGGGACATAATTCGTCTAAAATGTTTCTAATTTTGGGACTTTTAAAAACCGTGAAATCGCCGTTCATAAATCGTCATGTCTTTGCATTTACCAATGTTGCTTGTAAAGTAAACAATATGGACCAAATCCACCGCTAAAGGTTATGAACCCTACATGGTTCTCCCTTATTACCGTAGAGAAATGTGTGGTTTTCCGTACGCGGAAAATATAAGACTTTTAGTTTGGAAACCCTGAATCCAAGTGTAACGGCAGAGAGGGCCCCAAGTTATTAAGGAATTGAAGACGTTTTTGAAAACCGAATTATACCCTTACTTCGAGTATAACATCGAAAGATGACGTGAGTTTCTACCGAATGAGTAAAAGAATGAATATTTTCATGCGTGTTTTCCATGAAATATAATTAGGATCATGGTCTAATAGTTTTGTTTCAGTAGTTGAGTAGTTTTAGTAGTTTAGTTTTTACATGCAGTCGGAAGGGAGTTCATTCGAAAGCCGACACCCTGAGGTAACTAGATCATTGTAGAATTATGCTGCATGGTGATAAGTTGTATAACATACTTAGTTAATCTTTTTGAAACGAGAAGACATTTCGGAATTTCGGTTGACATTTCATGAGTTAGCCCACCTATTGTATGACACAGTGTCGAACACGTTCTATGTTCCCTTTCATATGCACCAATCAACTGTCCATGGACATCAGCCACCTGGTGTTGAAATTGTGTGCAATGACTGGCAGACAAAACAGCCCACCTACGAGTACTACACACGATCCGATCACTTTATTATTTGGGATACAAAAAAATGTGCCACAAGATGTGAATGAGCAGGCAATGCTGGCGGTTGTGAAGTGCGTCTAGTGGTTCTAGTGCGTCGTCATTGACGTTGTCGGTCGTCGTTCCACAGCAGAGGGAGGGCAGGCATAGTGACTTTGGCTTCTTAGTTTAAATTTCTAGCAGACTTGCACTGTATCTGTTGCACCCTCCCCTCCCCCTACCTGTATCCGGTGTCAAGAAGACCGGAGCCGGAGGAGGGCGCAGGTGGTTGGCATAGCGCAAACCCGCATCAAGGTGTACCATCACATCCCCGGTCCACAACTTATAGTGACCTTAATTGAAAGGGAACAGCTCGGATCCCACGGAATAGGAGCGCCATTGAGGCCGCATCAAGGCATTATTGCAGCCTGACCCTCAGTCTAATAGTCGGCCACTCCACATAACCGCACACCGGGCTGCCTGCGAGATCCAAGTTATCCCGTCAGTTGGCAACCTTCAAAGCCACGGATTTTAACGCGCCTTGGTAGTTTCATACACTTCAGACTGTTAGTAATGTGGAGACTGCGCGGAGTCGTCGACCTCACTTTCCCTTTCCATTCCCAGGTCGTGACCGATGTCCGAAGCGGTCAGTCGGCTGGTGTGGAGAAAAGGCTCAGTGACTGACGAAGCTGGGGAGCTCGTCTGCGTGCGTTGCATGCACGAACTGCCCTCCCCAAACGCACACACCGGGAATGAAAATATAAGGGGAGTAGAACGCTACGATCTCACATGCAGCAGATGAGTCACACGCAAAAAGAAACCGAAAAGCACACTATCCACTTACGTGTGAAGTGCCATTATTGTGTGTGGACGGGTGTGTGTGTGGATTTTGGACGGGTGCATGTGCGATGCATGTGTTGAAGGGTGAATATGTAGTGATGTGGTCGTGGTTTACCGTGGCTTTTTATAAATGCACATGAGACCTCGTAGGCCAATGCGGTGGCTGAATTTATGAAGGCAATACGGGAAGTTGGAGGCGATTGCGTCAGATAAATGTTGGGGCTATCTTTTCTTATTGCCAGGCCCAAACCTCTGCCGGGGCCGCTCAGCTGTCTGGTGCGGGGAGTGAGCGCAGTTGCTGACTTTGTTTTCGCGTGCTAAATACACGACCTTGATCACAAAACACAGACACAAGAATTTCATACAAAAGAAGGCGGACGGTATGAATTTCACATACACAAGAGTTTCCGAGGTCACATGCGAAGGGGATAATTGCACTATGACGCGTAGAAGCACACACTTGGCTGACTGCGAGGTCTGAATTCCACCATCGGTTGGTTTAGGGGGTATTTTATTTTATCATGGCGACACTTCGGTGAACTCGCTTGTTATTGGAAACGCTAGTGGTCCAGTAGACTTGAATGGTGGCTGAATGCCAGAGATGAAGTGTGTGTGACGGGTGTAGGATGAGACCGAAAGTACTGGTTCGATGGTCTCTATGCGATGAACTCGCAAGTGACCTGTCAGGCCCGTGCGTAGTGCGAAAGTGTGATTTCAATAATTTCAGGGCGTAAACGAGTCCACATTGCTGATGGCAGGAAGGTGGCGATTATGTTTTATACGTCGATAAGAATTTCCGAAGTGGTGTTGCTAGTGATGCTGTGTTGTAAATTGAAAGGCAGGATGGTTGTCTTGATATTTCCGTGAAAATTCAGTGATGTCCGTTTGTTTCATAGCCACGTATTCAGATATGTGTTTCCGCCACATTTCTGCTGCCGCTTTGAGATTTTCGACCGTTTGTGGATTCTTTAACCTCGTTATCGTGTTTTCTGGCGTGCACGATACATAGAAACTTTTATGCAAAGTTGGTAGTTTCGCAAGTTATTGGAGAAATGCCTTGTACATTACACTATTGGTCAGGTTGAAAATCGTAATGTGAACTTACAGTAGGTGGGCTAACTCATGAAATGTCAGCCGAAATTCTGAAATGCCCTTTCGTTTTGAAAAGCCTAGTTAGGTATAGCTGTAAAACTAATCATCTAGCAGCATAATTTTATAATAATTCATCTACCTCAGGATGTCGGCTTTCAAATGGACTTTTTTCGGCTGCACGCAAAATCCACTCTTTGTAAAAAAATGACTACTCAAGTAAGATGCATTTTTTTCCTTAATTTTCGACGCCCCTAAAAATTCAATTATATTTCATAGAAAGCATGCATTATGCTATTCATTTTCTGCTTTTTCGGTGGAAAATTACGTCTTCTTCCAAATCTATACTGTTAGGAAGGGTATAATTCGGTTTTAAAAAAGTTTCTAATTGTGAGATTTTTTAAGACCGTGAAATGGCTGTTCATAAGACGTCATGCATTTGCATTTACCAATGTGGCTTGCAAGGTCAACAATATGGCTCAAATCCACTGCAAAATTGTCTGATCCCCATATAGGCCTCTCTTCATATTGTAGAGATAAGAATTGTTTTTCGCACACGGAAAAATACGGCCTGTAGTTTGGAAATCTTGAATGCAAGCGTACCGTCAGGTTTGGTTCATAAATATTTGGAGATTAGACACGTTTTTGAAAACCGAATTATGTCCATCATTCTAGCCTAAAATTGGAATAAAACGTAATTTCCCACCAAATAAGCAAAAGAATGAATATTTTTATGTATATAATTGAATTTGTAAGGGCATTGAAAATCAATGAGAAAAATGCATGCTACTTAAGTAGCCATATTTACGGGTTATAGTTTCTCCATTCGGACGGAAAGAAGTTTGTTCAAAAGCTGGAATCCTTAGATAAGCGAATTATAATTGAATTTTGCTGTGCATTGATAAGTTTTACAACCCTACTTAATTAATCTGTTCGAAATTAAAACGTATTTCGGAATTTCGGTTGACATTTCATGAGTTACCCCACCTACTGAATATGAATACAACCCATTTCTACGGGCCCTTCTTACTAGCAAATAGAACTAAAAGTATTTGACCAGGGCTCTAGCATATTTTTAAGCAGGCCTATCTAACAGCATATACTCGTCTTTCGCTAACACGTAGCCCTTGTTTGATGGCCCAGCTAATGAGGAAATCAGGTCCACAGTTTGCCCCACAGTGTCTCTTTTATGGTTTACCCGCATTTCCGTTCTTTTCAGTCGTTGACGTTCTACCTTCGTTAGTATTGCCTAAAAATAAAGTAAGCTTACATAAGGTAGACTCTTTTAAACTCACGTCAGTTATCGAGGAATTTGTTAGGCCAAGTCTATCGGTTGCAGAGCATTAACTGTGTAACGTATGTAGGCTGCCGAAGCTCAGTCACTAAACGTTAAAGGCAACTTGAAATGCATGCAGCACAGTTGTGAATTCAGAATCCGACTATGGCCATAGAGAAATGTCTGATACAGTTAAGTTAAAAGTGCCTTCTTTTCATTAGAAAATCAGGCTAGATCATAGTTGGTAGCCAAGAATGGATAAGCGGACGGTGACATTAACCCTAACCCTAACCTCAACCTTAAACGTCATCCGTTAACCTAACCGTAATACGGAAACCTAATTGCACGCTCAAACCTTAACCGTAACCCGAAAGCCTAAGCCTTAAGACATACAATGAGTGACCTATCTCATGAAATGTTGGCTGAAATTCTGAAATGCGTTCACGATTAGGAAGGATTACTTGGTCGCGGTTGTAAAACTGATTATCTTAAGACATACTCTTATAACATTTCAGACTTGGCAGGATGTCGGCTTTTAAATACACTTCTTTTCAATCTCCGTTAGAAAGCGTGCTCGGCAAAAAAATGACTAATTAAGTAGCATGCACTTTTCTCATTAATTTTCTGCGGTCTTGGAAATTCAAATATATTTTATAGAAACCATAAACAAAAATATGCTTTCTTTTAGTCAATCAATAGAGAATCATGTCTTCTTTACATATTATGCTTAAAGAAGGAGTTTAATAAGGTTTAAAAAAGTTTCCTAATTGCCGAATAATTTGGAGCCTGATCATTTGTTACATTAGCGCTTAGTGATTTCACTCTACAAGGTGCATGTGTTCCGCGTAGAGAAAATCACATATTTTTCTATGGCATTAAAGAGATACCATACAGAGTCCATAAAATTTTGCAATGGATGCGGACCATGTTGCACATTTCATGAGGAGCGGTGGTAAACAACCAGGTACGATGCTATGTGAATGATCATTTCGCGGTCTTAAAAAGTCTCATAATAAAAAACTTTTTTAAAACCTAATTATACTTCTTCCTTAAGTATAAAATATAAAGAAGACATGATTCTCTACTGAGTGACTAAAAGAAACATATTTTTGTTTATGTTTTCTATAAAATATATTTGAATTTCCAAGACCACCGAAAATTAATGAGAAAAGTGCATGCTACATAAAGAGTCATGTTTTGCCCAGCAAGCTTTTTGCCGGAGATTGAAAAGAAGTGCATTTAAAAGCCGACATCCTGTCAAGTCCGAAATGTTATAAGAGTATGTCTTAAGATAATCAGTATTACAACCGCGACCAAGCAATCCTTCCTAACCGAAAACGCATTTCAGAATTTCAGCCAACATTTCATGAGATAGGTCACTCACTGTAGCCCTAACCCGAAAATCGGAAACCATTAACCGGTACCCTAATCTTAACCTCATACTTAAAACGGTTGCCAAATGGATCAGATAAGATTATGGAGCCTCACAAGATAGCCCCAGTAAACAAACACTCCCGCCACCTGTAATACGGTTCCTGGCTACCAACTGCGATCTAGCCGAGAATTGGTTTCAACTTGGTCATGCCAAGTCGGTCAGTTGACTTTGCAAATTAACAAAGGTGGTAAAATGAATTTTTGGCTGGTACAGTTTACTCTGTCTGGCCATTCAGCAGCGACACAAGAATTTTTTAACTAAACGATAGATAACTAGGCGACAAATTTATCCAACGACGGAGGTCCGGATGACCTCGAGAGATTAAAGTAAACCATCAAAAATAAAACAAAGTTTCCCGATTTTTTCTGAGCTAAATTACTGCCTAATGTGATATCCCACCTTGTACAGATTACATATACTTACAATAAAGCATTCAAAAGCAGATACAATACTCGACTGTTCGATTGGCCCAAAGGTCCTCTGTATTATTACTTGCGATGTTTTGGGGGGAGTGCGTTCGAAGCCACCAAATTTAATGCCCTAGTGGTTGGTTGTTATTTGGCAGCCTTTGGGGGGTGATTTGGTGGCATATCCAATCGCCATATGCTTTCGATGAGGTTTTAGATTTATAGCGGTGATATATTCACTGCACCCTTATGCAGCATCCACTATTTGATGACTTCCGATTGATGGTAGTGATAAAATGACGGACCAGGGAAGATTGAGCTCACGACTTGAAATAAAAAACTTTGAAGTTCTGGTATTCTTTTGCATACACAACAGCTCTTAAATCGGGTTTTAGTTATTACGCCTATTCTTAAATATGCTGACCCTCGATCCCGGCATCAGTCTGGCGATTTTCAGGCGGGGCCTTTTAAATTATTATTAGGAAACCTGGGATCCGATTAATTAATAAGTGAAATTTTTGGAGGTCAGAACCGTGTGTCGTACGGGACAACTTCATCGGAATCAAGAAGAGTTTTCTTTCATCAATTCAGTGGGACCGTCTAGCCCTCAGAAAATAGTAATTAAATTTACAATACCCAGGACATTAACAACCGAAAGGTTTACTCTGACATGAGTTTAAATGTCGTCCGCTAGGACTGGGTTTTAACTTACTCTGTGATATGGACGTCGAATTATTATCGCGCCCATCTTCGCAGCAATTTTCGGATCTACCAACTTGTCTCACTGAGTGTTGCATAACAAGTGATGCCCAGATTTGACCTCAAGGAACACTGTTTTTCGAGTTCAAAAGCGCTCGCAGCAATACACAAAAAATTACGTATTTAAGATAAGCCGGTCTGTGCCCTTCAAGCGGTTTTATTGCTGGCTTTTCAAAAAATTGACCGATATAATTCCTTCACCGTTTTTTTGCATGAATCTTTGTAAGATGAACGTCCAAATTCCTTAGTTGAGCAAATTCTCATTTGGGAATTAAAAAAGACGATTTTGCGAGATTGACTCTGCCTTCACTTAATCCCCCTAGGATTTATATATTTATGTTGCTACTATACAGTATCTTACAGTTATTTCAGTGACAGTTGAAACTTGCGAGTCTGAGTAGAATCTATCTAATTCAGGGCATACTTGTCAGAATTTGTCTTTGATTTTGTCATTTCTTTTAAACTGATGCTTGTTTGGGTAACGGAGTGCTCAACATTTTGAAACTTGGTACAACAATGTTTTCCACTCATGTTGAGCTCTAGTGCCTGTTATTGCACACGAAGGGATAAGAGACACATGGAGTAGTGTAGTTGGTTTCTTAAGCACAGAGGGAGTGGGCTTACAGGTAGAGGAAGAGCACGTATTCCCTTGCAGCTCTCTTGTGCCACTTAACTCAAATCGAATTCTGCAGGGCCAAACCATCTCTAATGACCGCGTCAAATTTGTGAATGAAGTTTCCAGCCATGCTCTTTGTTTGAAACTTTGTTCTTCTGTTACCTACCTGACGGGGGTCTCAGTTCATTTTCAACGGCAAAGAAGGGAATTCTTTGAATTTCGACGCCTGTTTTCCAAGAAGCCTATTTCTCAGCCTGCGCGCCGAGTTATTCACGTAAACATCCTTTGTCTAGAATTTTTATTATTGGAAGGCGTTTATGTTCACCCTTAGGGGCAGTGCTCACAGAATATGCGGATCAGTCGTAGTCAGCATCACGAAGATTGAAAATCACGATCAATCGCAAAAAAGGACACAAGATACACAATTGATCAAAAAGATATCCCTTTTTTGAAAGACAACATAAGGTGAAAAAGGGAGGTAATTATTCCCAACTTATTGATGATAATTACAGTGCGCGACCGATCTCATGAAATGTTGGCTGAAATTCTGAAATGCGTTCTCGATTAGGAAGGATTACTTAGGTGGGGTTGTAATACTGATCATTACGAGGCGAAATCCTATTGTGCAGCATAAACCTGAAGCATTTCGGACGCAATGGGATGTCGGCTTTTAGATGCACACCTTGTTCACTTTCTAAAAAAAACACGCTTTTTAAAAAATGACTACTTAAGTATCATGTATTATTCTATTGATTTAAAATGGTCTTGTAAATTCAAACATATTTTATAGAAAACATGCGTAAAAATATGATGTCGTTTACTCCTTTGGTAGAAAATCGCACTTACCCGATAGTTGATACCCGAAGAAGGTGTACAGTTAGGTTTTCAAGAAGTTTTTACTTAAGAGATTTTTAAGACCGTGCGATGTCCATGCATACAGGACCGCACATGTCCGTTTATTAATGTTCCTAGTGTAATGCACCACGCAGCCCGGACGCATTGCGAAATTTCGGGAACTCTCTGTGGTACGTTTTCTAAGGCATAAAGAAATATATAATTTTCCTTACGCTGAAAGCGTGCACCTTGTAGACTGAAATCGCCGAAAGTCAATGCAATGGCAGATCAGGCTCAAAATTTTTCGGGAATCGAAAAAATTTTAAAGCCTAAAAGTACACTTTTTTCGGATATAAAATATCAAGAAATGTTGTTTTCTACCAAAAGAGTAAAAGAAAGCATATTTTGTGCATGTTTTCTTCAAAATATATTTTTGAATTTACAAGATCATTGAAAATCAATAGAAAAAATGCAAGCTACTTGAGTAATCTTTTTTTTTACCGAATGTGATTTCTGCAGAGGGAGCAAAAAGAAACTAAATTAAAAGCCGACATCCTGGCAAGTCTGAAATACTATAAGGGCTTGCCTCACGATGATCGATATCGCAACCCCACTTAAGTGATCCCTCCTAATCGAAAACGCATTTCAAAATTTCACCCAACATTTCATGAGATCGGTCACACACAGTGCGCTGGAGAAAATGACGTATTTCGGGCCATATCTACCCCAATTTCGATCGAACTTTGTCAAAAGGGAAGTGGAAGGAGCGGTTCAAACTTTACTGCTGACGGTTGTTTAAGATATTTCGGCAGAGTTTATAAATCCTGACAACGTCAGTTACACAATTTGGCCAAAATGAAAAATCAATTCGAAAGTAGTGTTAAATTATACAATTGGACATTTAGGTGAGTGCAAATCTTAGTGTATATTTCGTTAGTCATAAAGGCGTTTCTGTAAATGAGGAATCAGTGAATGGTTTAAACGTACGATACTTTCCGACAGCAGTTTCAATTGTGTGAACAGGGTTGGGAAAGACACGAGGCACAAGTTCAAATTGTATAGAATTTTTCCGGTCAAAATGTGGGTCTCCTACTGGGCGCAGACGGTCTGGCCATTCTCTAGATTTCTAAAAACATCGTTCCTTAATCCAGACGTCTTCAAATCTCGAATAATTTTGAACCCTACTTGGCGTTACATTTGCATTCAGGGTTTCCAAAATACAAACCCTATATTTTTGTGCGTACGGAAAGCAATACATTTCTTTACAGTATTAAGAGGAAATTTTGTAGGCTTCATAAAATTAGCAATGGATTTGAGCATGATTGTAAACTTTGCAATCTTAGTTAATGTAGAGACACGATGCATTCTGAACAAGCATTTCACGGTATTAAAAAATCTCGCAGTTGGAAGCTTTTTTAAAAATCGAATTATACCCTTCCTTTGAGTACAAAATTGGAAGAAGGCGTAGTTTTCTACCGAATGAGCAAGAGAGTGAATACTTTTTTATTGACGTTTTCCATAAAATATAATTGCATTTTGTAGGGCATCTAGAATCAATGAGAAAAATGCATGCTACACACGTAGTCATTTTTTTACAGAGTATCGTTTCTGCATGTAGCCGAAAGGAAGTTTGATCGAAAGCTGGCACCCTGTGGTAGCTGAAATATTGTAGAAGAATGCTTCATGAAGATCAGTTTTGCAATCATAACTAAATAGTCTTTTAGAAACGAAAACGAATTTCGGAATTTCGGCAGGCATTTCATGAGTTAGCCCACCTACTGTAAGCTGTCTCGGATATTTTGTGAGGGAACCGGTCAGATCATTGAAGAAGGTGTTTTTTGCCCCGAATATCAGATTAAACAGAGATAACTTTTTGGCGTCAGAATAAATACAGAAGCAGGCTCTCTTAAGTTGACAATGAAACGTGAAGATGAGCCGGTCTAGAGGTAGCTTAAATCCACTGCTATCTATCTTCGCACGGGGCTACCCATTATTTCCCACGACCGTTACGTAGATTCGTTTAGGACGGAGAGGTTGATTTTAGATCCTAGCGAGGGGCATCTTCGGAATCTGGAGCATAAGCCGGAGCACCAAGAGGTTATAGACAGAAGGAAACGTTTGAGAAGTTGATTCGGCATTGCAGAAGCATTAAGCATGGATAGTGAAACGGCACACTGAGAAAGCCAAAGACCGCAAGAGAGTAGAATTGTGATCGGCAGCGTTGGGTTTAAACGAGGTGTTTCAGTGTTCATTTGAACAAGGGGGTGGACTGCACAGTTATTTGACGCCTGTTAGGCGAACGCTTACGCAGCCGCCTTCACTGTTCCCCGATCCCATCTTCAAGCAGCATAGCTTAGGCTTCACTCAACTTGCTATGGCAGAAGAAGGAGATTGCGCCGACTGTAGCAAAATCTTTTATTATTGCGAATTAATACAGCTATTTTTTTTAAAAGCTGCCAACTGATAGATCCACTCAGCCCATTTTGAAGTGTTTGTCGGTCTGCGAATGTTCCTTTATCATGCATTTCTGACTGATTGACACGAAGTATTGTGTCACATGGACTGCTTACCTAGAACTCACTGACTATTGCCGCAATTACTCATAAAAGGCGGAGAAGGCCGTTAAGGCGCCGACTTGTTTTTTTCTACTAAACTTGAAGTATTTTGAACTATTTTAGCAGATTAAATTGGTGGCTTTGAGGAGTAGCCACTAACTGGATAGCTGGGTCGATAATCGTAGTGCCAAACAAGCCGGAAGGACTCTTTTTTTAACTATTCGTAAAGTCATGCTCACGACGATGAAGGATCTGATTTACAGTTGCGAAAATTCCCATAGCAATAATTCGAAGACGAGGTGGCAAGCATACGCAGCTTTTGATAAATTCTCCTCGGGCCAATCCAATTACATGGGGAATCGAATAAATTTCGCCCTTAAACACAGACAGGGTGTGGGAATGTGTGGGAGGGGGGGGGTAATAGCAGTCACTGTCAGGGACGGGGTGAGAACCGAAGAGCGTTGCATCGTAGTCGACCTTCGACCACTATGGGCGCGGAGCCTGAACGTGGTTCTTCTGTGCGCATAAGATTGGCTTTCGTAACCTAATGGCGGCCGCTTCTGCTATCACTAGCAGGCGCTGGCCTAGTACCTTAGAGTAGCGCGACGTGACCTTATAAGTCACACGGAAAGCTTCGTTAGGGTACCCGTTTTCGCGTGAATTCGAAGGTATCTCGATAGTTGCGTTGTGCGGTAGGGGCTTGAGTTTCTCTGCTGGCCACTTTGCTATCCGAAGATACGGAGATTTTCGCTTGTCCCGACAGGTTTATTGCAAAGAACGTTCCCGAACGACCGGTAAAACTCGCTGCATTGACAGCTTAAAATAAAACTTTATTCCTCAAAGTCCTTTCCGAAGGGGACGCTGAAAGTGAACTCCTAAGGAGACGCCTTGATCAAGATGTCTGGCGAACCTTCCCTGTGCCAAGGGTTCAAATACCATTTTCGGTTAGATCGCAGTTGGTAGCCAGGCCCCGTATTACAGATGGCGGAGGGGTTTGTTTACTGGAGCTATTTTGTGGGGCTCCATAATCACACCTGGTCCATTTGGCCTCCGTTGTACGTTTGAAGTTAAGACTAGGGTACCGGTTAATGGTTTCCGATTTTCGGGTTAGGGTTATGCCTTTAGGCTTATGTTTTCGGGCTACGGTTAGGGTTTGAGCGTACGATTAGGTTTCAGTATTACGGTTAGGCTTTTCAGTTACGGCTATGCCTAAGGGCTACGCGTACGTTTACGATTTCGGTTAGGGTTAGGCTTGCCGGTAGTGTTAGCGATTAAGGTTTAAGGTTGAGGTTAGGACTAGGGTTAAGGTAAGAGTAGGGTTAAGGTCGCCGTCAGCTTTCCCATTTCTGGCTACCAACTGCGATCTAGCCTAATTTTCTACTAACTCTATTTTACGCAGAGCAGGTAAGGCTAAGCTGTCACCCCGGACCACCTCCATTTGCACCACACGATGTCCGGAATCGACAAAATGTGCGAGAATGGCGCTGCTTATGATCCTAGTTTCGCCTTCTCCCAGCCATGCTGGGAGATGCTCCTGTATTTTCCTGTATAAGCGCCCACTCGTGTGACCGATATAACCTACTTAGCAGAAGCAAGTGAATGAATAGATACACACTGAGGTGGTCTGGGTTGGCAGCTTGGCCTTACCTGCTCTGCGTAAAATAGGGTTAGAAGAGAAGGATATTCGAACCCATGCTGTTGGGAAGGTTCGCCAGATAGCTGTATCAAGGCGTCTCCTTAGGAGTTTACTTGCAGCGTCCTCTTGAGAAGGGACTTTGAGGAACAAAGTTTTCTTTTCGGTAGTCGAGATACCTTCGAAATCACGCGAAAAGGGGTACCCTAACGAAGCTTTCCGTGTGATTTATAAATGTCATATCGAGCTAACCTAAGTTACTGGGCCAGCGCCTGTTAGCAACAGCAGAAGCGGATGCCAGCAGGTTATGAAAACCGATCTTGTGCGCACAGAAGTACCACTTTCAGGCTCCGCGCCTACAGTGGTCGAAGGTCGACTAACGCTGTAGCTCTCCCCGCGCACTTCCGCTCCCACCCCGTCGCTGCCACTGACTGCTATTTCCCCCCACCACTTCCCCCACATTCCCTCATCCTGCCTGTGTTTTAAGACGAACTTTAATCGATTTCTCCTGTCTTACTTCTATCCCGTTCCCATGTAATTGTACTGGCCCGAGGAGAATTTATCGAAAGCTACGTACGCTCGCCAACTTATCTTCTGGGTCCGAGTTACTGAAGCCCCTATCCTTTGCATGCATAGGCGAGCACATGTCCAACGTATGCCTGCGTTGATTTTGTCCGGATGACCAGTGCGTCCGCGTCACACTTCCGTTCTCAAGCTATCTTGCCAGTGCAGCAGCGTGGGGGTGGGAAAATGAAGTGCATTTGAACAAGCAAAAATACAAACGCATTTCATCTGCATTCCCATGGAGTCGCTGCTATTCAAAAAGCTTAAAGGACAATCTCCCCGTTGGCAATGCGTGTTCGTTGTTCTCAACTAAAGGAAGTCATTGTTAATGTTCGTGAACCGGCTAAAAATCGACACATGACGTAGCCAAGTGTTTGAAGGAAGGTCGGTAGCCCACACCAGTGCGGATATTTCGGAATGTCCTCGAGCGTGGAGCATAATTAATCACGTTCCAGAATGTTCTCAGATACTTTAAAGCAAACCGCGCACTTTTACAAGTCAGCAAGTCGGCCAACAAGTCTACCTAGTGGAAACCAGGTGTGCTTTCTCACGAGAATCGCCGCTCAGTCATCTCACCCAGCGGCGATAACGTCAACGAACAGTCGTAATTGAGGCGCCCTGAACATTAAGTTCGAGAAGTTCTTGTATCCACCCCCACACACCCACGTATCCACACACCCCCCACATCTTGAACGTTAATTAAATACACCGATTTAGCCGTTCAGTTGAAAATAATGATCATAGTTTAGCGGGGAATCTAAATTATTGAAAACGACATTAGTTGGATTAAAATCAATAACAGTTCGAAAAGGGCAGGCATTTCGTAAATCTTAATAATTGTTACAAAAAAGACATGTAAGTGTATGATATAGATTTGCGAAAAAAATAGAAGAGATGGATTATATACGCGGAAGTAAGTCTCTCTATCTTCACGAGCGGAGGCAATGTGTAGACGAGATTCACGAGTTCTTTGTTGCTTATATAAAATAGCATTAGATAATGAAGAAGGAAGTGTGTTTGATATAATCGTCATTAATTTCAGAGAGATGAAATTACTCTTAAGCTCACGAGTCGAAAGACTGGTCATTCGTCGTAAGTTTAGAACACGTGGCTATGGAAAAAAGATCTCCACAGTAAGTCACAGGTCATTATTAAAACAAAAGGGTTTTCCCAAGAACTGCTAGCCGCGTAGAAACTAGCTTCTTCTCATTAATTGGACTGGAAAAGAAAGATTGTCAGAGGACATTTCAAGATGACGGTGAGCCTCTATTAAATGCCTTTAGATGTGCGATAAAATCACCAGGAAGACGAAAGACATCCCAAAACATTATCTTGATGGTAGTGGGTTGGAAGCACACGGATGTGACAAAAGACCTCAAGCACAACTTTTCCACTTACCTTCTGCTCAGTTTATTCTTCAAAATCGCAAATTCGGTTGGATGTGTACTTGAATTTACTAAGTGGCCTTTATTTGAAGACGTAAAAAGGTGGATCCAGCTGAAGGAATGGCATTACTTATCATTAAATCTCACCCGGAGTCCTTTTTTCACGACGTCCTATCAATTAAACCTAGCTATTGCAGAAACAACAGGGACGTTTTGCATACTGATAACTTAACACTCTCTTTACGAAGGTCCAGGAAACGAAAAGAGTATGTTCACAAGGTTGAAACCATGTTCCTTTTTTGTTCTCCTACAGGCCCAATCCGGCGTAAAGTTTCACATATCCGATAGCATCGCCTCGGACGAGCTGAACGAGTACCCGTTTCCAGAGCTTTCTCCAATCACTCCAGTCGTCCACAGCAGCCGTGATCCATCTACTCAAAACACGGCCTCTGGATGTCATTCCATCCATCCTCTCCAATATCCGGAAGGCGGCCTGTCTCCGTCCGCCCAATTCGGAAACCTCGAGGCCAGCACCCACGAACGCAGCCGGCGCAGTCAGACAGTCGCCGAGACATCACATTCTGTCCTCTCTTATGCTCCGTTGCCGCGCTTCAGGAGGAGCGTCGAAACTTCCCCCTTGATGGCCAGCAAGCACTGCAGCGTCTCCACGCCGACAGGCTTCCCAAAAATTGTCATTGATACGGACGAGGGATGCCGCGGAGCGCCAATAGCCAGTCGCAGCACAAACGGCCACGCGATGGAGGCATCACTGAGTCCTGCACGCACTCGCATGTTCCACTCGCACTCCTTCAACGGCCACATTCCGCTGCCAGCAGCTAAGGAGGAGGAGGATGATGGCGACGACGAAGAAGACGACGCGGTTACGTGTGCAAAACCAGAGGAGACGGTCAGGACATCCGTCGACATCAATGTCTCATCTTCCAGTGCGACAACGACAACAGGCGGACGAGGTTCACAACACTGGCCCACCTGCAGTGAGGCCGCGGCTTCTAGTACTAATTCCGAAGTGAACTCTGAAACCCATCTGCGTCCACGATGGCGGGCTCAACGGCTTCAGCGTCAGGACGAGGTGAGTTGTTTTTTAAAGGACAGCATGAGCACTTGAATCTTGAATCAAATGTTTGTAATAATTCAGCAAATATATAGGTATTTCGGCCGATTTTAAACAATTCATATTGACCCAACTGTGGAAACCTCGGCGCCTAGGCGGGATTCGAACCAACGCAGTAAGGAAAAGGCTTTAGTACAGCCAACGCTCTAACCACTTGAGCTACGAGCCCCCGCCGGACGACGCGAGTTTAATCACATTTGGGTCAAGTAACTCGCCCAACCTACAGCAACGTATAGAATCCACCTAATATGATACAGTAAGTTGACAGCCCAAGCAGGTTTTCCAACGTAATTTGCCTAGAATCTACCAGATGACTACCAGGCTCACGTAATTCATGTGTATTTTGGCAGATTATGAATACTTCGAATAATTTGAGACGCCGAGTTTTTCACAGTTGGGTCAATATGAATTATTCAAAATCTGTCAAAATACCTATGAACTACGTGAGCCTGGTAGTCATCTGGTGGATTCTGGGTGAATTACTTAGGAAATCCTGTTTGGGCAGTCAAATTACTGTATCAGATGTGGTGGATTCCAGACGTTGCAGTAGGTTGGGCGGGTAACTTGACCAAAATGTGATAAAAGTCGCGTGGTCCGGCGGGGCTTCGTAGCTCAATTGGTTAGAGCGTTGGCTGTACTAAAGCCTTCTCCTTACTACGTGGGTTCGAATCCCGCCTAGGTGCCGAGTTTTTCACAGTTGGGTCAATATGAAATATATGTAACTGAGAAATTCCTCGGTACAGAAAATGTGAAAATTTTAATTGGAAAATTTGTGCATGTTGATTTTTGTATCTATTGTTGAATTGCGATTTTCACAATGGTGCCTGTCCTTAAAGATGGTGTGTAATTCGTCCAAGCGAGTAAACGTCTTCCATGTGTCCACGTTTTTGGTGTTTCGGTGAACTCATAGAGAGTCTTCATCTTAAGCGTATCTAATCATCTAATACGCTGGTTTTCTTAAGTTGGAAAATAAATAGGGTATTTTTATGTCTTAAGGGAAGGTCTCAAATGACGAACACACCAAATATTCTGAGATTAAGCTATGTGAGGAGAAGATAGTAGAGCAAGAAACGTTTATTCGGTCTTCGTTGCTAAGTATGGAGAACATTGAAGTGTGATATATTTGCTGGATAACCCTCCTGGCAGAACTAAAACTACACAAATGACTTTTTTACACTAACTGCTTAGAAAGGACAATTTAAACAATACTTGCTGAATTATAGGGGTTTTAGGAGACACATTATACACCGAACAGGTAGCAATACATATGGCTCAAAATGTCTTAGAAATGCACTTGCTGAAGCGAAAAAAGAAACAAGGTTAAAAAGAGATACAGTGGCTCGTTGTGGAGTTGCAGAAAAAAGGGCCACATTTTCGGATTGATAATGTGCGTTGGAAACTTACCGCACACGTTTATTTCTGCGCTGACTTTCATAGCCAACAAGTGGGTTTTTCTTCAGGTTTGCAAACGTAAAAGATCCTAGTCGATAACCTGAGAAATGTGATGGGTTCACCCGATCAGTGCAATTGAGTGGCTGGCGTTTCGGGGGGCTTGACCGGTTCTCTATTATCAAAATTTTTTGCGCAAAAAAATCGACTAGAATTCTGAATGAACGAGGACTCGCATCGGAGAAACTAGTCACGGTTTGGAATTAGAAGGAAAAACCTGAAGGATAGAACGTCTCACACTTGAGACTTGGAACTCATATGTCAGCTCCATCAACAGGCGTCTAGACCTTCATTCGGCTTATAAAGCCCTACGTCATTACATACGCCAAGACTAGGGTAAGACGGTCATACGGAGTTTAAAAATACTGAGCAAACGCGACTCGTCGACCATTTTACCCAAAGGGGAGGGCAGTTGCAACCGGACCCCAATGACATGACGACACACAACACAGGAGGCGCCGAAATTCACAGACAACAGGCAGAAGGCCGAGGCAGCGAAAGAAAAAGAAAATCGACTGGCTTGAGGCCAACTAATATGGCAGTTTATTCAAAATTCTCATCGATTTTATCCTTAAAATGCTTTTATAGTGGAGAGTTGACCATGTCCCCCGAAACGTCAGTCACTCAGTTCCACTGATTCGGTGACCCTTTCCTATTTCTTAGATTATGCTACATACATGTATACAGTAGGTGGGCTAACTCATAAAATACCAACCGAAATTTCGAAATGCGTTCTCGTTTTGCAAAGATTAATTGAGTATGGTTGTAAATCTAGTCATCATGCGGCATGATTCTATAATGATCCAGTTACCTCAGGGTGCCGGCTTTCAAATGAACTTATTGCCGACCGCATAAATGGAACTACACTCTAAAAAACGACTACATACTTAGCATGCAATTTTCCCATTGATTTTCGATGCCGTCCAAAATTCAATTATATTTCACGGAAAACATGCATAAAAATATACATTCTTTTACTTATTCGGTAAAAAATCTCGTCCTTTTCCAATTTTATACTCGAAGGAAGAGTATAATTTGGTTTTAAAAACGTTTCTCATTCCCAAATAATTCTGAACCATACCTGCTGTCATACTTGCATTCAGTGTTTCAAAACTACAAGCCGTATATTTTCCGTGTACGGGAAACCTACCGTATAAAGAGGAGACCATATGGGGTTCATAAAATTAAGTAGTAGATTTGTCCCCTATTGTTAACTTTACAAGCTATATTGGTAAATGCGAATACAGCACGTTTTATGGACAGCCATTTCACGGTATTAAAGAGTCTCACAATTAGAAACTTTTGAAACCGTATTATATTTCTCATTTGAGTGCAAAATTGAAAGAAGACGTTATTTTATACCGAAAAAATAAAGGAATGAATAATTTTATGCATTTTTATGGAATATAATTGAACATATAAGGGCATCGAAAATCAAGGAAAAACTTGCATGCTACGTAAAGAGTCATTTTCTGCGAAGTATAGATCTCGCATGCAGTCCAAAATAACTTCGTTCGAAAGAAGACACCCTGAGGCAACTGGAGCATTATAGAACTGTGCTGTATGATGATTAGCTTTATAACCATATGTAACCAGTCTTTTCGAAACAAGAACACATTTCGAAATTTCGGCCGACATTTCCTGAGTTAGGTCACCTACTATATACTTCAGCAAAAGCTGCGAGAGCTCATTCAAACAAGTGCATTTCGCACCAGTCGACTCCGGATCATAGCTGCAGACTGTCTAATCTTGTGCCTGCAAAGTGCTTTGTAGAAACTTTTACGAAATCGATTTTTCTCTCTCTGTTTTGATTTTAAAATAGCCTAGTGCAACTACGTTTCACCAAAAACGTCATGTCAGACAGCATTCAGCATTATCGCGTACTTTTTTATTTAACCTAATTGAAGTTTTGACTTCAGAAAACTATTTTCGAGGCATAACCTAGTAAATTGCAGAGCCTTAGTGAGGCACCGGAGCACTTTTTTATCCCGCAGGCCGTCTGCCGTCTTTATTCGCGATTGAATGGCTCTCTGGGAAGAGGTCAGGATTTCACACGTCACTGTGACCATATCCTCCATCACACATCGATAATAAGAACACTTTCCTCGGGGCCTTTTCAGTCAGTAAGACAACAGACAGACAACATCGTGTCCTGTTGATTTAAGTTCTGCATGTGTCTACTTAAACGAGAAATTGAGGAAAATGAAAAAGTCCCAGTCTAAGAATTGTAGCGATTAAACAATTGTGGCACATGACGAAAGTATCGTACCGTACTTGCGGATAAAAGGCAGCGCATGCAAATGCAGGCTCGATTTTAGGAAACAAAATGAAGCGGCGGTTTCACTTTGAAGTTTTGGTACTCACACCCTTAATTTGTCCTACAACAAAACGTAAGACTGAGGAAATAATCTGTAGCCATGCAGAAATACACAAAGTTTGTGTGTGGAGACTTTAAGCTCACAAGCAGGAAAAAATTGGTTCTTTAAATTCGCAAGCTGAAGACAGCCAGTTTTACTGCGGGATCTTTCGCACGACTGACGGCATAGCTGCTATGCCAATGACGACGTTTCAGGAGGTCAGAACAGTGCAATTTAATGATCCACTATGCGGCAGCCATTTACTTACTTTGAATATGCATTTGGAATTCATGGGCATCTGGATTTCTAACAATCTTGCGCTTAATGTTAAAAGTAGAAAAGTTCAGACCTAGGAATTGGCTATTCAGCTCTATATTAGATTCTCTGCATAATGACTTATTTCACTTGCTAGCCCAGCTACAGGTCATCAAATGTAAAAAATGGAATTGTAAGAGGCAAAGCGCGTTTGACAAAATCATGAAAGGAAAGAAACGTAAAATGTAGACAAGTGGCCTATTTTTTGAAATACCAACCGGGTTTGAAAGAGGAAAGGATTATTTAGGGTAGATTGTGGTGCTGATTATCTTATAACATTATCTCAACATGTTTCAGTCGTGCCACAATTCCGGTATCTAAATAATCCCATTTTCGGCCGCCTGTCAAACACCCACTCGATAAAAGTGAGCATTTAATTAGTTAGTGTTTGTACCACTAATCTTCCATGTGCTTATAAATTAAAGTATATTTATTTTGAAGCATACACCAACTGCCTAATACATTTGCTCTTTGGTAAACCACTTTGTCGGATGTTATGCTTAAAGAGACATCTCTCGATTTCGAAAAACGTTTTAAATTTTTCAATAATTTTGAAACAGGCTTGTTGTTGTACTTATGGACTGAGTTTTCGAAATTCGGGCTATATACCTTTTGTCTAAATAAAATCACGCTTTTTTCTTTACTTTTCAGAAGAAGTCGTATAGGATTTATGAAATTTTCTTGTGGGTGTGGTTCATAGTCCATGCTTCGTACGCAGAAACAAAAAATGACAGACAAGATGCCGTATGGATGAATATTTTGCGGTCTTAAAACTCTCAAAAATGCAAAGTTTTCGAACGGAAATATACACTTTCTCTATGCGAAAAATTCAAAGAATACCTACCAACCAACGAGTAAAAAAGAGGAATAATG